GGGGGGGGGGTGTGTGTGTATAGGCGGATGTGGTGCTGAGAGGATATAGTGGGTACAACACGAGGTGGGCGTTGAAGGTGGCGGAGAAGGTTTTTCCGACGGCGGAGTGCGGCGGAGAATCTCCGCCGGTGGCGGTGACGGTGTTCTTCGGGGCAAACGACGCGTGTCTGCCGGAGAGATGCTCGGCTTTTCAGCACGTGCCGCTTCTTGAATACAAGCAGAATCTTCGCTCTCTCGTCTCCTTTCTCAAGGTATATGCATATATATATATATATATATATATTAGTATATAACAACCCTTTTGTTTTATCATCTGAAGGATTTCAAGAATGAATAAAATGCCATCTGTCACTATTTGGAAGCTGAATTGCAATATTAGTTTACTACGTATATATATGTGGCTTGAGCGTTGTTTGATTACGGGTAATCACGATATAATTATCACATGTTATTACTGTCATGTTGAAATAATAAAAAAATATATTATTTTTGGAAAATGTAATCATATATTGGTCAAAGATTTAACTTCTTTTCAATGCTTTTGGAAAGCGGTGATCCTGATCGCCACACAGAGCCCCCCCCCCCTTGCAAAAAATACAAAAAGGCACCGATCACTACGAAATTATAAATTAAGATTAATAAATTGCATGGAGATCTTGTAACCAGCCACGACCAATGTATAATAGATATTTTATTTTCTTATTCAATTTAAATTTAAATGGTTTTTCATAATGCATGGTCGATTCAGACCCGATGGATATGTAAGGTTTCTACATTATAGCCGAAAGAGAACTTTCTTATATAATAGAGCTTAACATCTTGTAATTAAATGTCTAATTGTAACGTTATTTTATTAAATTATTGATCAGAATCGTTGGCCAGAGACGTGCATTATTCTCATCACTCCCCCTCCAATTGACGAAGAGGCACGGCTAAGGTATGGGCTCTCTAGCTTTTCTCTCCCTCAAGCTTTTGTCCCAAACTTTTGTTTCTATCAATTTCAATCCTTACCATATACATGCTTAAGATACTTTCTATAATCGTTTTTTTTCAAAATCTTTTAGATACCCTTATATCGAGAACACGACTGGATTGCCCGAAAGAACGAACGACGCATCCGGATCGTACGCAAAAGCGTGTGTAGACGTGGCCGAGGAATGCGGAATCGCGGCCATCGATATATGGACCAAAATGCAACAAATCGAAAGCTGGAGGGCAGAATGTCTATGGTCACAGATCTCCTCTACCCTTATCGACGAATTCGGTCTATAAACCGATATGTTATATACGATTATAGTATATTCAACTAACGATATCCTTTTTTCCCGAGGTGTAGGGACGGGCTGCATCTGAGCCGGGTCGGGAATAAAGTTGTGTTAGAAGAAGTTGTAAAAAAGCTCAAGGAGCAAGGCATTGATGTTGAGAAGAATTTGGCTGTTGATCTTCCCCTCATCGAGAATATTGATCAAAATGACCCTCTCAAGGCCTTTGATGGTATTTGATCATCAAAATGATATTTGTTTTGGACCCTTTTAGCTATTAATTTTACCAGAACATGTAATGGCATGGACCGACCTCGAACGACATTTATCAAGCTGTATCGATCATAAGGCGAGTTTTGATTAAAAAAAAATCCTTTGAAATATCTTTACCATCGTGAACTTTGGAGAAATATCGTCTGCATGATCGTGTATTGGGCCGTTATTTCGCTGTAGTGGGCTTTGTCTTTTACTTTGTACGTATTGCACGGCCCATCGGCCCAACACAACTTCCCTAATCCGATCCAATTCAAAACTTTAATAAATGTATGAAAAGTATTATGAGAAAAATATAAAATTTAAAATGAGAGAGAAAGGGCTGCATCCGATGTGTATGGTTTGTCTTAACCTTCGATTAGGAAAAAATATAAGAGTTTATCTTTCTCGAATTAGAATGCGCATCTGTGGACCCCACGACTTATCATATAAAATTGTAGGGATTCTCGTTACAGAAAAATAATAATACGGAAACATTGTTTAATATTCAATATTCATTGCCTTTGGCCTTCTTTCTTGATCGATATATTCAATATTCATTGAACTTCCTGATTATACAAAAAATATATATATATTCAATGTTTTGTTAAAATATTTATTTATTGTTAAAATATATCATTCCATATAATATAGTGTTAAGAATCCAATAGAATTTAATTATATTTCAAACATATAGTAGGTGATCTCGGATCATTACATAATTATTGTGATGATACTTATGCCATGCAATTGCAATTTGGAAGCTGAATTTATATTCTTCTATTTCACGCTATAGATGTGTGGACTTTCAACTTCACTATACCTCGTGATTTCAGTCATATATTTTGTGGGTTCTTTTATACGAATCTTTTCTTTTATACACAAACATATATATATATACATATATATGATGAAAACCCCAAGATGATAACTAAGCAACACATTGGAACACGACCAAAGAGTAACTATATCATTCGATAAATCCTCTCAAGGGTATCGATAAATACCCAATGAGGAAAGATTTGAACTTGAAAAGGAAAGAAATCGGAATCCAAATAATAAAATAAAAAAATTATCTGAAATGTGTACAAGAGTAAACAGATCGACTTGTATGGGGGCAATTGCGAGCGATTCTCTTGATGGATCTGAGATGGGTGTACGGAATCAATGGAGAAGAAGCGTATCGAATCGGGAAAGAAAAAGAAGAAGAAGAAGAATCAAAGAGATTGGTTATGTCTCGAAGAGGCTCTCTGGTTCTTTTTCTTCTGATTCTCCTCTGTTTTTTCTCTTTGTCGGCGGCTGAAGAAAGAGGCTTGCCGGCGACCAACGCTGTCTCCGGCTTTGTCGGAGGAACATTCTCTTTGTCTTCGTTTAGAGAATTTAGAGAGAGAGCCGCCATTTCTGAGAGAGAGAGAGAGAGAGGGAATGGGGAAGGGAGAAGAACGGAGAAGGGTATATGAAGACGGTGAAACGCGGGATTTGAATCGGAGGGATCTGGGTTTCTATTTCAATTCATTGGAGGGATCGTAAAAAATGTGAGGAATTTCTTGAAAATTATGAAACTTTCATGGCTCTAATGATTTGGAGGGAAGCGATGAAATAAGAAAGAAAAAAAATCAGCTGTTTCATCTTCTCTACTAAATCTGAATTTCTTTACCTTCTGCTTTCAGAAAGGCGCCATTTTTGATTTTGCAAGAAGAGGGAAGTTTTTCACAAAGTTTGTAACTTTCCTTTTGGGCTTGGCCCAATTCATAGGCCCATATTTCCAACCCAATATATACACACATTTACACGCTCATCTATAGCAACTATATATATATACACACACACACGTACACACGCTAATTTACAAATAATTTGTAATTAGTGTTGTGCAATTTTGAATAAAATTGCATCATATTATACATGTGTTGAATGAAAATCCATCTAAACCCTAAAAATATTCCATCCAATTCATAATAAAAATACAGAAAATAAAAAGTAGTGAGATTTTAATTAAAACACACTTGAAAATGAAAAGGAAAAATAGAAAGGGGAGGGAGACGGAAATCTATCTCCTTATCCAGACCACAGAACTAAACAAGCCCAATGGAAACGATATCCCCAGAAGAAACATCGAATCAGAGCCAGAAGCCGAAGAGCTAAACAAAAATGGCTTCTCTCCTTCTCGGAACAGCGTCTTCCTCTATCTGGGCTTCTCCACCTCTCTCTCCTCCTTCCTCGCCGCCTTCCATTTCACCCGTCTGCTTCAGACCTGGTACGATGTCGCCTTCGGCCTTAAGTCTCAGACCCCTTTCCTGCAAGTTCCTTGATTGCTTTTCCTTCTGGGTTTTCTTCGATTTCGTTCGGATTTTTTTCGTCGTACATTGTTCAAGTTTTTCCTGCTTTCTTATGAAACAAGAAAATTCTGGTCCGTTTCTTGTTTTTCTACGAATGAAGCTTCGATGGAGTGATGATACACTCATCTGGTCGGAAGTTTAAAACCAAAATTGTGGTCAAGAGCAACATATACGCCGAAAAGCTTAGATCTTTACATGTTTTTTTTTTAGGGATTTGTATAGTGCAGTGTGCGCCTTAGAAACCGGTGATACTCAATATAGTGTAGGTAGGATTATGTCAGAAGGTAAATGTTAGATATGGGTTTTGTAACATTCGTTTCTGTATTATTGTAATGACTCTTGCTGTCATGACCCTTCATTCATTTAGTCTCCACAACGAGCTCTTGAATTGGTGGCACTTGAGTCAATTCTGCCCAGATCTCGGCTTCGGACCCTAGCTGGAGCCAATTTGGTTTGGATCAGTGTTTATCAGTTTAGATGTTACTATATACGCGAGTCTCTGTTATCTTATTATGGTTTTACATAGACTGGAGCATGGTCTTCTTGGTTTCGCAGGGCATAGCCATGGAAGAAGAAAGCTTTATGGAGGTGTGGCAGTGAAGCCAAAGAAGGGCAGGTCTCGTTTCCATGTCTCGGTTATGAATGTGGCCACAGATATCAACTCTGTTGAACAAGTATGAACTCTCAAATTGTATCTACCCAAAGGAAAAGATCATAACTTTTGCAGAAATCCATGTTTTTTTCTTGGTTTCTCAAGTACAGTCTCTGTTGTTATTTGCTCCCATAGTCAGGAGGGGAACTTCTCATATTTCAATCGGGTGTTATGACATGTTGATCAAGCATTCCTTGTTTGTGGGTTCAGGCAAAGAAGCTTGATGATGCAAAGGGAAGCGCCAGGCCGGTCTATCCATTTGCTGCAATTGTTGGGCAAGACGAGATGAAACTATGCCTTTTGTTAAACGTGATCGATCCCAAGATCGGTGGTGTCATGATCATGGGAGATAGAGGAACTGGAAAATCTACGACTGTCAGATCGTTAGTCGATCTGTTACCCGAGATCAAGGTAGTTGCCGGTGACCCGTACAACTCAGACCCGGTTGATCCCGAGTTCATGGGCGTTGAAGTAAGAGAAAAAGTCACGAAAGGAGAACAGCTCCTCGTGGTTTCCACAAAGATCAACATGGTCGATCTTCCGTTGGGTGCTACGGAAGATAGAGTTTGTGGAACAATCGACATTGAGAAAGCCTTAACAGAGGGTGTCAAGGCTTTTGAACCTGGCCTTCTTGCTAAAGCCAACAGAGGAATTCTCTATGTCGATGAAGTTAACCTCTTGGATGATCATCTTGTTGATGTTCTTCTGGATTCCGCTGCATCGGGTTGGAACACAGTCGAAAGAGAAGGAATCTCGATCTCTCATCCCGCCCGGTTTATCCTCATTGGTTCAGGAAACCCGGAAGAAGGAGAGCTCAGGCCACAGCTTCTGGACCGGTTTGGCATGCACGCTCAAGTAGGGACGGTTAGAGATGCTGAGCTACGAGTCAAGATTGTGGAAGAGAGAGCTCGGTTCGACAGTAACCCTAAGGAGTTCCGAGAATCTTACAGAACTGAACAAGAGAAGCTTCAGGACCAGATCACTTCTGCGAGAAACAACCTCTCCTCTGTCCGGATCGATCAGGACTTGAAGGTGAAGATCTCAAAAGTTTGTGCAGAGCTTAACGTTGACGGGTTGAGAGGAGACATAGTGACGAACAGAGCGGCCAAAGCACTTGCCTCTCTGAAGGGAAGAGATGAAGTGACAGCTGAAGACATTGGTACTGTCATCCCCAACTGTTTAAGGCACCGTCTGAGGAAAGATCCATTGGAATCAATCGATTCAGGAGTGCTCGTGACTGAGAAATTCTACGAGGTTTTCAGCTGAAAAACAAGATTTTTTGTAACTCGGTAACTCGTGTTTTTGCTGCTTCATATATCATATTGTCCTAAATGCAAGAAATTCTTCCTGTTATACACGCCATGTTTCTCCTACTGCTGCTTTTCACTGCTCTGACTAGAGAGAATACCCGAGAAACAGGGATGTGTAATATGAATATCGAGCTTGTGTCGATTCATCTAATACATTTTGAGTATGTTTCAAATCTTGGGTTGATTCCAGAATTCAGGCTTGAGCTCGAGAAACTCGGAAGATCTCTGATAAACAAGTGATGCCACTCGTATCAGAATACCGGCTGTGAGTGCCCAAATGGTGAAGTTCTTCTGCTTATCCTCTGGTTTATAATCAAAGTAATGCAGAAGATATCTCTGTCCTTCGTGCTCTCGTTCCTCTGCCCGTCTGTTCTCGTTCTGTTTGAATGAATCGAAACAAAAAGGAGAGAAATCGGATCAAGTTTGCGGATATCAAAAGTAACCGAAAGGGGAGGAAAAGGGCTTTCATTCTCTTCTGAAGAACCTTGAGGAACATCTCCAATGGAGCATCGAAGATCTCTTCTACTTCAGCTGTATTTGGATCCGGTTTGAATGCTTCCTTTTCGGTAAGAAATCCGATGACTGGTGCAACCGACATTCCTCTCTGCTTTTGGTACGAAAGTAGCACGATTTTTTCAAGATCTGCAACTCAAAATCGATATCGAAAAATCGAAAAACGATACCTTGGTAATGAATGGCTCAAGAACTGAAGCAACGGTGACAAGAGAAGGGTCCAAGCCAATCTCTTCGTGAGCTTCTCTCAAGGCGGTGGCCACATCGTCTGAATCTCCTTCATCTCTTTTCCCTCCGGGCAACGCAACTTCACCTGCATCTGTTTCTTCTCAGATCTTGTAGTAAAATTGATCATTGGAACTTGATTTCTTTGCAGATCTGAAATTCTTACCGGAATGGGAAGAGAGGTTAGAAGACCGTTTGGTAAGGATTACATGTAGTTCGCCATCGTCTCCTAGGTAAAGACAGACCAAAACAGCCGATGATTTTCCGGGAAAATTTTCCTGGGAGGAAAGAACATTGGGTTTGTAACTGCGTAGTCGCCGGATCAAAGTTTGTAACTTGTTAAATTCTGTGGCTCCCGACATCTTGGAACTGAAACTAGTTCACGGACATGTTTTCTTCCAGATCTAAAAACGATGACTTGTCCCGAAGAAACCTTACCAGTTTCAGTTAACTTCGTCCACCCAACTTCTGACCCACCGAATTTAACAAAAAACCTGTTACAAAAAAAAAAATCATCCTCCGCTAATTTTGTGCATTTGACAATCGATTGTTCTCGTTAGTTCATAATATTCTAACAAAAACATTACACGGGTAATCAAAAGATTCAATCCCCATATGAGTACGAACTCTAACTTCGATCCCTACGGGCAAACCATGAGGCGGCCGTTGCTACTTTGAGGTTGAAGCCCATCAGCCATGGCCTACGGTTAAGGGACGGTAGGATGTTGCCGGTTCTTATAAAAGTGTGGAGCCACTTCGGTGAGCCAAGAAGGATCGATGGTGATGACATTGCGCATGTATTGACGATCCGTCGAGACGATGGAATGGTAAGCCACCCATTTCGGGTTCACCCTGAACAAAACCGATGACGGATGGATATACACTTCTTCCGAGCCTCTAACTGTTGTGTACACCCCGTTGCTGTGTGGTTGTAAGCGACAAGCATTGGCGAAAAACCCGGAAGTCACTGCTTTTCTTACAACCTGAAACACACCAGAGAGGCAGTTTACGTTAAAAGCTCGTGTCTTTTTCGGGTTCAGGATTAGGACAACGCAGTCACAAACTTACCTGTATGTCTCTGTCACAAGATTTCAAGGGGATTCCTAATCTTTGTGCAATCCTTCGGAGTTGATCTCTTATCTCAATCACCTTCTTCATGGACTGATAGTTCAAGAAATTCTTGTAACACCACTGGGAAGACTTTCCCGAGTCGAGAAACCCTCGGTAGACGTTCAGGAAAGTGACATGGTCGCCCTGAAAAGAACAGAGCAGGATATCAACAATGGAGGAAATCGAGTTCGTAACCATGTCTGAATTATCGAGTTTATAAAGAGTGCAAGAGAGATTAGATTACCTCGGCAGCAGCAAATCTCAGTTTCGCGTCATCGAGATCTTTCTGTATTCCCCTGGCAATGACCCAAATGGATTGGACAGACAGAACAGCAGAAATTGTAATGATCTCCTCAGAACAACCGAGTTCACTTGAAGCTAAAATCATCTTCGAGATCATCGGGTCAAGAGGAATCTCTGCAACTTGGAATCCCGTGGGCGAAGTCAGTTTTGCATCATCGTCCAGTACTTGTAACGAATAAAGCACTTCAAGGGCTCGGATCATCGTTTCTGGGGAAGGAGGTGACGGCCAATCGAATCCCAATATATTATCGATCCCCAAAGCTTTGAGCTGAATCACAGTAGAAACAAGGTTTGATCTCTGCATCTCGGGTATGCCCTCTCCAGGCATTTGGGTCACGAAATAATCTTCGGTGTATAGTCTATAACATTTCCCCGGCCGAACTCGACCAGCCCTTCCAGCTCTTTGTCTAGAAGATGCTTTGGATATTGGTGCCACCACGAGATTTTCGATGTCTGAAATCGGGTTGTAGAATTTCTGCTTCGAGAACCCACTATCGATCACGTAGACAACACCCTCGAGTGTCAACGATGTTTCAGCAATATTTGTCGAGAATATCACTTTCCTCTTGCCTCGAGGAGTGGGAGCAAAGATCAGTTCTTGTTCTGCTCGTGAAAGGCCTGAATATAGCGGCAGGGCTAGTAGTCCCGATGATTTCCTTTGTTTGCTGCTCTCAGATTCTTCCGAAAGAAGTTTAATGGCAGCTTCGATATCGTCCTGACCGGTAAGGAATACTAGAATATCCCCACCCGGTTCTCGTTCATTAACCAGCAATACAGTTGAAACAGCAGTTCGGACATAATCTGAAACAGGCTCCTCAACATAGTGAATCTTAACGTCGAAGCCTCTGCCCTCTACAGATAGGATTGCGGGTTCCAAAATCGGTCCTTTCTTATCTCCTTCTTGTTCTTGAACCCGTCTCCTTTTGCTGGAGTTAAAGAAATCGAACATTGCTTTTGCCTCAATGGTGGCCGACGAGATAATCAAACGCAATTCAGGACGACGTCGTTGGATCTTTTTCAGGAGACCCAACAAAATGTCAGTTGAGATTGATCTCTCGTGGGCTTCATCTACCATAACAACGCTGTACTTAGTCAAGAGAGGATCATCCATCATTTCTCGGATTAAAACTCCGTCCGTGAGGAATTTCACGCTGGTTAAGCCCGAAGCTGTATGGTCTTCGAATCGGATAGTGTAGCCAACCTCTTCCCCGAGGTTCACTCCCATCTCTTCCGCCACTCTTGTGGCAACTGAGCGGACGGCTAGACGTCTAGGCTGAGTGCAAGCAATAACACGGCCTCCATCTGCCCATCCAGCTTCTCTAAGGTACTGCAAAAACGATATACATGCAAATTTCACCATCCTTGGCGATATGAACTTGCAGGCACAGAATTAGCACACATCCGTTGCATAATGTCCCAAGCAGTATTGTAATATCTCTCTACAGGTTGATCGAACTATTGCCGGTGATCTTACAACATAGAAATCTGTGGGTATTTCAATGTTCACAATCCAAAGTTGGGTATTGGTGAAAAGACTCGGGATTTAGTCAAGTTGCTTAAATTTTCCCACAAAAAAATTTCCCCGGAAAACAAGAAGAAGGAGAAACCTGAGGAATCTGAGTGGTTTTGCCACTACCCGTCTCGCCGACGACAATGGTAGTGGCGTGAGTCTCTACAAGATACAGAATCTCCGTCCTGTGCTTATAAACCGGTAGTCTCTGTCTCTGCTTCTCCATACTCGTAAACCCATATCTACAAACACGATTCCAAATCATATGCATCAACACATACACACAAGCGAAGACGAGGAGGGAGAGAGAGAGAGAGACCATACCCAGAAGAAGAGGAGGGGAGAGAAGACGATAAGAACACTATGCCGCCTTCTTCGTCTTCCACAAAGCGCGGTTTCTCGGTCCCTGGTTTCCAAAACGCCATTTTTCCGCCAAAGAATTCAGCCTTTCGCTCTGCTGTTTATTTTCCGATTTAATAAGAGGGTCAAGTTCGTGTTCTCGATTTTAGACGACGGAGCTACGGCTGAGATGCCATTAACGAAATCGGGATTTTCTTGCCACGAACCTTCTGACTCTCTCAGAAGGTCACTGAAAAAAAAATCATCATAAAAAAATATGGGCCTTCTGTAAGAAAATCACTTTCGGCCCAATAACCCATTTTGCTTTAAAATGTTAGCTTCGAAAAAAAGATGCATGATATATTTTGTATAAGCATTATCTAAAAAAATATTTTTTTTTGTTAAACTTATCTAAAAAAATAATTGATAAGTCAGTGTTTATTTATTTTGCATACTGTTAAAAACGAAATAATATTTTACTATATATATATAATGTGCCAAACTTATTATTGACATTTAATTTCAACGTCAATCGAGATGATATCGAATATAACAAAAATCCATGTTTTGCATTGCTGCACTTTTTTTATTATTATTATTAACATACGAATACATTTCCCCCCAAAAAAAAAGCAATTGTAAGGACATGGAAAAGATGCACTAACGTTTTCCGTTTCTAGGACGCAAAGTACGTATATATACGTAGTATCCATTTATTTGAAAAACAATAAGTATACCGTATACGTATAGTACTTTTTTTGTATATGTAATCAATGTTACTCGTTAATTAACAATCATATCGACAACAGATTGAACGGCTCTAAATACGTAGTAGTATGTCTTCTCTGTGGGATGGATGGAATCGAAGAAGACATATCTTGATACGTTTGGACATACGTAAGACTTTGGATTACACAACGGTCCTAACTCCACGTAACCCGTTCCGCAACAGCCCGTGTCCACTTCTTCGAAACCTGCAAAAACAATTGCATCGTTAATTTAGATATTAATATCTAATTAAACCCTAAAATCATATTTAACTCTTCGTAATTTTCAATTATATTCAAAAACAAATACATCGTATAGTTGAGAGTAGATATGTATATGAGTTCTCCAAGTATACAAGTACTTCTCCAATAATATATATATATATATACGTACGTGTGTATGATTGGAACATAACTACTTACCGTATCTTGCGTGGTTGTGTACCATGTCGGAGAGAGGGGTGAAAATGTCAATGTAAAAGATCTTGTAACCAAGATGAGACAAAGCCATTTGCATGAGCTTCAGTTCACGTTGGAGGAGAAAATTGTAATCTCTGCCGACGGCGGAGAAGCGGTCAATGCAGCGGCGGTCAGCCACCGCATTTCCCGAGAAGGCCGTTATTACCTCCGGCAAACACCCCATCGGCGGTAGACCCGCCACCGCAATCTTCCTTGCCCCTTCTTCACATAAACCCTAGATTTCATGCAATCAATACATACACATATATAATGGGTAGCCTTGTTGATGTCGATCGAAACGGTAAATTTGAAATATAAAGAGAATTTTATGAACCTGGATGAAGTTTTTGAGATGGTAAATGATGAATTGCTCGTAACCTTCGACGATAAATGTTTTCCTTCGTAGGGGGAGTGAGAAATAAGTGATGACGAAATCGTTCGTTCCTGCACTTACGACGTACAAAGCTTCTTCCACGTGTTTTTGCATTCTTTCTTCTCCCAATTTTTCTTCTATTCTTCTTTTGTACTCTCTGAAATACTCTAGTTGAGTCGGAAGGTCTATCACGTGCTGCACATGAACAACCACGTTGATTCTCGATCAATCGCGATTTTTTAAAAAAAATTATAAACGAGTAAAATACTAATTTCAGCTTTGAAATATGTTAGAATTCCCACGAAATAGGTCCCCACAAATAATTGATGAACTTTGTTCTTATCTGTCACGGTATCTTGAAACATGTGATGTTACAAAAAAAAAACAAATAAATTATTTCTAAAAAAATTATTTATCAAAACATACATAATGGTTATATTGGCTCGAGTTGTTTATCCGAAAAGGGCATGTGTCTTATTTTGGATATTTTTAGAAATTTTGCATTCCATTTCGAGACTCATATGCAAATTTATGATTCGGATAAATGTGCTATGATTTATTATTTATTTAGAAATCGAAATATAAAACTGTAATTTTGATTTAAATAATTTGTCGTGGGAGATGGTATACGTGCTTACATCAATAGTTGGAGTGAGAGGGTCATATCCAGAGCCAGCCGAGGCGAAGGTAACTCCACTCATGAGCTCATCAATCCCAAGACTTGGGTCCAAATACGGTGGAACATTGTCCTTAACACCAACGTATGAAGCTATACATACATATATATATATATATATATATGTATAACCCACAAGAACAAAATCATTTTAATATATATATATATATACACATATATTGGTTTTATATTCATCATGAAAGAGCAGTACTTACCGATAAAATCAGTGGGGAGACGTCCGTTGCAGAATCTGCCGGTCGGAACATGACCTTCGAAATCTTGTCCGTATGGAGGAAAGTCACTCTTGAATAATGTTTTAATGTAATTGTTGTTACCCGAATCCACCGTTGAATCTCCGAATACCAAAATAGCAGAAACCGGCGATTTTTTATCGCAAGATTCGATGATCGGTTCATCATTGGCGGACTCATGTTGTGTTGCAGAAGAACGTGAGAAGAAAATGCAGGTTAAGAGAAGAAAGAAGAGGGGGGAAGAAGAAGAAGAAGAATGTGTGTGCATGAGATTCATTTTGGTTGTGTAATCGAACAAACGAAAAGTTTGCTTTGTTATATTTTATTATGAAAATATATTATATATTCGTATGCGTGTATATATAAATATACGTGCCTACTTATAAGAATATTAATTTTAGAAACATTTCTAACATTTTGATATCGTTAACAACATGGGTTTTTCACAAATAAACTCAATTTTTATTGAACTCTTTTTTTGGTTTCAGAAATCTTATATATATTTGGATAAATCACGTGGGCCGGTTAATTGCAGCACTAACTGTTTTTTATTTATATGAAAAACGATATTAGGTGAAGATTTTAATGCCATCGCCCAACCGTGATGGTACGTGATGATATATATCATTAAATGATCGTATCTCTCGGATTATTGAGTTGTTATGCCAATGGAATTAGTAAAAAAAATATTTTCTTTTTTTTTTTCTTTTTTATATTGAAATAATAAAACATATTATATGTATATATATTAAAAATTCTCAACGGCAACCCTGTCCCAACTATAGTTGTTACGTTCAGGAAACCAAACATGTCCTAACTAAAGAAGTTAATAAAATTTCTTGTGGTAGATATGGAAACAATGCATCTCTTTTCTATTTTAAAAGTTGGAAAAAATAGTCTTGATATTGTCTATCAACCCTTTTTTTTCTTTTCTAACAAAAAAAAATCTTTTTTTTTTCTTACTGAATATTTTCTTTTACGAATATTAAATTTGTTTGTATGTATTTTATCAAATTTCACAAAATCATAACCTTTTGGGGCATATTAACCCTTTGTTTACCGATGCAAGATTATAAACTATATATCTCAACGATTGGAAATCATTTTAATTAATTATGATTAAACTCTACTTAATTATATATCTTATATGCACATACGTAACCCATTTGTTGTTTCAACAAAAAATTATGAAAAAAAAAAATATTTTTAGTTTTGTATTTGTTCCTTAGTTTGATGCTTATAGCTAATCATTGATATTTATGACTGCTAAATGAAATTACTTGCACTAATCACATAAGACAACTCTCTAATGCACTGAATCAGATCTTAATATATATCCATATCTTCCATTACAATCTATGCTGAAAGCGTGTGGCATATGATTATATTATTTCAATATTATTTTTTAATATGAGTCTCTTCTTCTTATCTTTTGTTTGAAGATTACTTGGGCAAAAGGGTTACTAATTAATCACTTCATTTATACTCTTTTTTTTTCCAGTTTTCGTCTCATTATAATATATTTTTATCTCTTTTATCTTTATTTTTTTCAATTCTTCAACTCCAATATTTATCGTAACAATTTAATATAAAATTGTTATTTATATTTTTTTTCCTAGGATTTTTCAACATCTACACCACATATAACAATGGAAATTCGTAGACGTTGTAAAATTTTGATTAAAAACACATATAACCTTTTTGTAGTGTCTATTAATAGAAAGTATTTAAATAAGTGTGCTAGAATAAATTTAGAATGTGTAACTTATTGGAAAGTCTGGTGTACGCGTTAACATGATAATAAAACATATATGCATTAAGTACCATTCATTAATTTTTTTTTAAATTTTATAGCACCGTTGGCCAGTATGTCAACCATCGCATTAAAAATTCTATCTAGAAAATTGTTTTATTACATAATTCAATGATTCGATTATAAAAATTTATATTAGCAAGTTATAAGATAATAATGCGTTTAATATGAATAAAAATCCTATTATATATATATGTATATATGTATATATTGCTGGATCTTAAAAATATTTATTGGCAACACATTAAGATAACTAAAAAATAAAAAATCAATTACAAACAAAATATAGTATTAGTTACTAACAATGTTTTGTATAAAATTTTTTGATTTTTTAAACAAAAATTGATATATAGGATAGGGTCCCACACGCACATTAATTTATATAAAAGGGGTATTATCAAAAATACTCTTATTTTGCTATTTTGATTTCAACACATACTTTCATTCAACTGTGACCACATGATCCATCTCATCCAAAATATAGTGTGGTCACATATTGATCTCATTGTTTGTAACGTTAAATTTATGATGTTTTAATCAAATGATTAGTAAGATATATAATATATAAATCTAATGAATTAGTGTGATCACCATAAATTTAACGTTATAATTAATAAAATCAAAATGTGACCACACTATATTTTGAGTCATATGGATCAAATAGTCACACAGTGAAAAAAAGTATGTGTTGAAGTAAAAATAACCAAACAATCGTATTTTTGATATAATGCCGTATAAAAGCTACAACCATCGTTATTTCCAATATTGCTGCGAAATTCAAGACGGTAGATTTTGATTTATAAAAATATTGGAAAAGGTTTGACAATAAAAAATCCAGTTGTAAAAATTTTTATTTAAATTTTTTTTGAATATATATATATATATATATATATATA